CTCTCATTTTCCCCTTTCACTTCTTCCTTTGGATTATCGTCCTGTTTATGTGCTTTCTTGTTAAGTGGACTTGCTTCATATTATTATTACCCCTGATGGTATTATTCCCCACTTAGTAATTCTCTGATCTCTCACAGACACATAAGAACATTAAGTGATTGTGCTAAAAGGCACAATTATTGATGGCACCAGGGAGTTTAATTTTAGAGAAAAACTATCCTATTTTCTTTAAAAATTGTAAAACAAACTGAATAAAGAACAAAAGAAGGGCATTGCCAAAGTCATTAGGTCCTTAGGTTTCTCCAGCCCTGACTTTAGAAGATAGTCATCACCGACATATACTTATTTTTTCATAGAAATACTAATATAAGTGTTAATGTAGGTACATGCAGATATTTATGTACAGGACTTATTTGAATTTGCTTCACAGTTAGGTAATTTAGTTTCTCAAAAAGAATAAAAGGCTGATCAAATTACCAGAAGCTTCAAGGTGATTCTATTTCAGTTCTCAGCTTGAATGTGCATTTAAAAATATCTCTACTTAGAGTAGTTACTGTTCATAATGCTTTATGGAATCTTTTTAGGTAACAGCTTGGATGATAAAGAAGCCATTATCTTTGATTTGGTATATTTAACCCAAGTTAAATTTATGACAGATTGAAAATTAGTGTAGTATTGTACACCTCACTTACTGTTCAGTATAACTTGATATATGTGTGAGCCATATGTTCAGCAGGATTTATAAGAATTTGTTAATTGATGGATGGAAGAGCTGTTTCATAGTACCCTGTATACAAGATAACATATGCAGTGTGTATATAGCCTTGCAGTTTGGGTTTATAAGAGATTTAACTTGTGGCTAAAGGAAATACAATGAAATGTATTGGCAATGCTTCTGAAGAGGAAAATTCAGGATTCACTTCTTTAATTTCCAGGCTTTTATGCAGTTAACCAATTTAGAAGGGAGACCTTATTAGTGCTTTATTTCCAGAGCAGATAAGAGATTATAAAACTACCTTAGTTTCTGAAATGCCATGGATGAAAGAATTCAGCGTTTATCTACTTTGCCCACCTCTCCCACTTCTTTCCCATTACCGCATAATTGCAGGAAGTACCTTGTTTACTGCATGTACAGCTTGTGTTGCTGCATTTAAGACTTTGCCCTAATCCTCAGTCTTATTAAAGGATTTCACAGCATAATGTTGATTAAGTAAAAGTTTCTTAAACAGTGAATCAGAGATGGCAAAAGAAAGGTGAAATATTAAATGTAGGGTTTCTCATTTAAGTGCGGCCCAGGTGATGAGTCGTTATGGTGAGGCAATCTCCAATCAAGGAGACACACTTTCTTAGTGGGCCTATGTCTGTGTCCTTTACCAGCAGCACTGGCCGCTTCACGGGCACTTGTGTGAGAAACTAGGCACAAATGGAACTTGCGTGGGCATCTTTCTGTACAGATAGTTCTGATAAATTACAACTCCATCTCCCAAAGAGACTTTTGTACTCAGCAGCACATTTTCTGTAATACCTAAAAAATTCTAAACAGGTCTTTTAAATAGCCTTAAAATAATTCCTTTCAAAAGGAACTGTGTCCCTTCAAAAAGTCCCATTCAAATGTGAAAGAACTTTGGAAAGAGACTGGTCTGTCAGTATTTTCTGAGTCTTCATAATATATTAGTCATAAAATAAAGCAATGACCTTTATTTCTACCCTCTAGATACAAAATTCTTCATCTGAGGTTGTATTTCAGAATCACAGGTGGAGCTTTGTTTATGTCCACTACTAGAAATTCTGGTTCAATAGGTTTGAAGCAGTCACTGCATCTGTTTTTTAAAGTTTTAGAGCTGTTTATAGTAGATACATGTCCAGTTCAATACCACTGCTAGCTTACATTTGAATTTGTACCACACATAATTTATATAACATGGAGGCAAGTTTCACTCAAACAGGTTCTGTGGCTTTACAAAGAGGAACTTGGAAGGGAGCTGGAAGGAAATCCTAGCTATAGTCGGAATATTGGATTTAAGAGGGAATCAGTAAACTCCTCTACTTTATGGATGAGAAAGCAGAGAGGTGGAGAAATTTTCAAGGTTGTTAGCAGAACCAAATGCTAGGTCCAAGACGGACTTGAGCTCTTTCTATACTAGCATCTTGTGCCTCGTCCATTTTTGAGAAAAGCTTCAATGGTATTCAGTAATCTAGACATTTCTCTTGAACATCTCAAAGCCTGCGAGGATTTTGTGAGGTCTCAGGGTATTTAATAAGAGAAGCGGTAATGAAGCCAGCAGGACTTCTTCACATCTTTGAAGTTACTAGGCAGGAGTTGCGAGTGACATAACTTACATTTATAAATTATAGACATCACCCAGAATGCTTTTGTGACTTCTTTGTAAGCATGGAAATTTCTGACAAGAGATCCCTAGGTTTAGTACTGAAGATTGTTGAGAATAAGATAATGGTTCATCTCATTTAAACTGATCCTTAAGTATTGGCAGCAAGTCTGGGAAATCATGCCAATATTACCTTTCTAAGCTTGCCTTGACTTTTAGCTTGTACTTCAGAAGGAGGATATTGTATCCAGATGTGCAGTTTAAACAGCTACAGGAGTAATATACTTATTACTTATTATACTTAATAAGCATAAGTAATATGCTTATTAGATTTGGCTGTGAAAAAAAATTCAAATAACAGTTCAGTCGAGGTCGAGATAGATTTTTTTTCTGAATTAAGAAGTCCAGAGGGAAAGGAAGCACAACGTAAGTATGGATGCTTCACAGCCATCAAGGGCTCAGGTTCTTCCTTTCTTTTGTTTCACCTGTTCTTGGCACTTAATTACATCCTTAAGGTACCTGATGGTTCTAGATGGCTTCTGGAGCTTCAGGCACCATCAAAGGGGCATACCTCCAACTTGAGTCAGCCCCCCTGGAAGAGCTTTCCTAGAACCATCCCATCCAACAACTTCTGCTTCCACTCATGGGTCATTCCCATTATCCAGGGAGCTAGGAAGGTTACTGTGGGCAATATTACAAGTTCTGTTATTGAGAAGGAAGGAGAGAATGGATATTGGGCAGACAACCAGCAGATCTACCACAGCCTGTATTGAATATGCTATTTATACTAGGGAAATAAGATTTTAATGACATCAAAAGCTATTAATAGGATACAAATTTTAAAGATCTCTAAACTACAATCTTTCTTGTGTCTGATTAATGATTAAACCAATAAATCTCTACAGTAGTGTTCTGCTTGGGATTTTCCAGCGGGACTTATTGGGAACAGCAGTTACGTTTTATATATTTTAAATAAACTGAAAACAAGTTCTTCAAAACAACAGGAAAAAAAGACACTTAAAATTCTTGTTTCCTTTAAGGAGCATCAAAACAGCACAAGGACAATTCAGTGGATATTTATGGAGCTAGCAGGAGCAGAGTATACTCTATTAGACGAAATGGGCTCAGATGAACATACTAAAACATTCAAGTTGTTTAGTAGTTAGATGGAACAGGACAGACTGATACAGCGTATAAGAGAGTTAAACATGTCATGGCATTGAATTATACCGACTCCAGATATACAAGACCTCTCCTGGAGAGAAGGATGGGTACCCTGGGTCAAAGTTTTAAGTACCAGGTATAGTCTTAGTGCATTTGGGCTGCTGTAACAAAATACCACAGACAGACTGGATGGCTTATAAGCACAGAAATGTACTTCTCACAGTTCCAGAGGCTGGAGTTCAAGGGCGCCAGCATGGTCAGGCTCTGGTGACGCCCCTTTTGCAGGTTGCAGACTGCTGACTTTTTGCTGCATTCCCCTGTAGTGGAAGGGGCCAGCGTGTTCTGTGGGTCTCTTGTAAGGGCACTAAAGCCCACCCCTGAGGGCTGTGCCCTCATGACCTAATCACCTTCCAGAGGCCCCACCTCTTAAAAAGCCATCACACTGGCATTAGGTTTTCCACATAGGAATTTTGTGAGGACACAGACATTCAGATAACAGCAGATATGATCACCTCTGCCGGTATCCTACCTGTACAAATAAAAAGAGAATGGGAAATGGAGAGAATTTCATCATCTAAAAAACTTGCAGGCAGAAGCCAGCAGTAATCTGCAGGATATGCAGCTGTAGAACAGGTACTCGTGAACGTGTAAATAAGATAATGATAAGGCGTGCTTCTGCTGTATGAGGCCAGGGTTCTAAAATGTTCTGTAGTCTCATTCGTACCCACTGTTCACATGATGCCCTTTAACGCATACTCACCAAGTGCCCCCTTTCACGATACACTTTCAGGAGGAAATTCGTTCACAAGTTGCCACTTAGGTGAGAGAGTCTAGGTTTTGCCTTATAGGCAGTGAATTTCAAATCTGGGCAAAACCCAGCCTTGTATTTTTTTTTTTTCCTTTTCCTTTCACAATTACTTATCAGTAGCCAAACCTTGTCTGTTGACTTTGCTCCAGCTGATAGAAAACAGGAAACTACAGACTGTCTGTGGGAAGAGGCCCAGGTAGCACCCTCTGTGACCTTGCGCCTCAGTCTCAGTTCTCCTTGGGGTGACGTTGCAGACAGCTCCATGTGGCTGTGGCAGTAAGATGGGGGTGCAAATGAGAGCAGCTAACACAACAAGGCCTCTTAGCCTGGCCTTTGAGCTCAGTGAACCACCTTTTGAACCTTCTATGATAGTACATTTTGGGGATCCTTGGAGGCAAGTAGTTCACGCTCTGGTCCAGTAATGGATCACAGACTGTTTTGTCTTCTATAGCAGTGGCACTCTGGTGTTAAATAACTGCTTATTTGAACATATTGTGCAATGACTTATGCTTTCCCACCTGTTACTAGTTCCCTTTGAAGCTGTTGTGCTCAGTTTAAGCTCTCCAGTGGGGGCTGTGAAGGCAAATGGACATCTCACAAATTGTACTTTCTTTATATCTCCTCAGTGCTGGTGCAGCTCACTCATAAATTTTGGTTTTTGTGTCCCCCGACTCTGCACCCCATTTCCACTCTGCTTTCAGGTGAAGGTCTCCCACAGGTATACTACTTTGGACCATGTGGGAAATACAATGCCATGGTGCTGGAGCTCCTCGGGCCTAGCTTGGAGGACTTGTTTGACCTCTGTGACCGAACTTTCACTTTGAAGACTGTGTTAATGATAGCCATCCAGCTGGTAAGTTGGCATTGCTACTCTTGCAAAGGACAGGCAGGGCCCCCAGCCATATCCTTGTGTCTCTTTTGGTGACTTACCAGCAGTAGTGATACCTAGTGAATGCACATTCACAGGCTTGATGGCATTCTGGGAAGCTGGCTGGGATGAAAGGGGTCAACCCAGAGAAGTCACTTAGCATCTGCCGTTTGCTCTATTTTAAGAATGTGCACCTTGGAGCAATATCCTGCTCTTTACTGAAGTGGAAGCGTGATTTAGATCAGGACAAAAGAGGATGACTAGGTAAAGTTGTATAGGTATAAGTAGTTTCTTGAATGTTTTATTTATAGGTTTTAAACACATGGCCGTACCCTCTCCCCTCACTGTTGCCTCTAAGAAAAGGTTGGAGATGTCACCCACTGCCCTGACAATCAGATTCCTAAGTTGTGTGACCAAGAGCCTGCCCTGGTTCTCTTACTTCCAGCTTGCACAAAGACTGACACAGTTCAAAAGGGGCTCTCTCAGCTCCTGCCGAGCTACACTCCAGTCCCAGTTGAAGGAGCAGTCAAGACACTTCTTTTGAAAAATTTCTTAGCCCCTCGGGGAAGACTGCAGAGGCATCTTTATTGATCTGAAATTTACCACTTTGTAGTAAAAACTCAGAAATGTTAGAAAATTGATCCTGACTTTTGAGTCCCAAATTCAGATGTCTGAGCTTCCCTTTCTATACTAAGTAGAAAAGCTTTGTAGATAGGAATAATCTTAAAGAAACTTGAAATAATTTTATAATTAGTATTTTGGACTATATTTACTTTCACATACAAACTGCACTCCTACCTCTGCTGCTAATTAGCACTGTAATATCAGGCCAGTATTAACTTCTCTGGGCCTCACGTCCCTTGTTCCTGAAACAAAGAGAGTTGTGCTGGGGAATGCTGTCTGGCTGAGGGTAGGACGGTGTAGGCAGGAGGTGAATGTGGCAGTGGCACCTGTCTTCAGAGGCCACCAACACATTCTGATACCCTTTCTGGTAATAGTTCTTGTCTCTCAAAATCTTACTTTCTGAACTAATTCTTTTCATCATTTGCAGATTATAACCTTATGAGGTAAAACTGTGTCATTTTAGCTGAACTGTATGTACTGTCCCACTCTCTTTTTTATCAGAAAATATTTTCTGGTTTACAAGAGTAAAGTGACTCTGGGTAGTGGAGAAGAAGTGAGCTTTATTTTCTTTTCAGTAATTAAAGTCTTCGATAAAAGAAAATGTTGTGCACATATTTGCTAAACTTCTTTAGAGTATCTCCATCATTGTTTTTTCTCTTGTAGCTTTCTCGAATGGAATATGTGCACTCCAAGAATCTCATTTATCGAGATGTCAAGCCAGAGAACTTCCTGATTGGCCGACAAGGCATTAAGAAGGAGCATGTCATACACATTATAGACTTTGGACTGGCCAAGGAATATATTGACCCTGAAACCAAAAAACATATACCTTACAGGGAACACAAAAGTTTAACAGGAACTGCAAGATATATGTCTATCAACACGCATCTTGGCAAAGGTGTGTTTATTTGCTGCTCCATGAAAGGAGCAGGTTTTTAAAACAACCTTTTATTCCAGTAACGCTTTTGTCCCCATTGTGCATTCCCACCTTGTGATTCTTATTGCTGCACAAGGTAAGTGTCTTATACTTGAGAACTTCAGGTGGTAAGTCAGTGGCCTTCCTCAGGATGCCATTGACAGCTTAAAGAGCTTTAATTCTTTATACTATGTTTCCAAAATGCCTGGTTTCTCAGCAGTGTGGGTATTTGAACTGTTGTATTCAGGTAAGAGCATTTTAATAAATGTAGTGATGAGTGTGATGCTTACATAGAAATGACCCTATATGTGATGGTCCTATAAAGGACATCAGGCTTTGGGGAAGAGCGCTTCACTGAAACACGGACTAGGCCGCTGACCGCTGCTTACACTTCCATGAATAAAGGAAGAGCCTGTGTCTTACTCAGTGAAATTTTATTTGCTTTTCCATGAGACTTGCGTTTTATTCAGGATAGATAGTTTTCACAAATGCTCCTAAAAGCTCTAACCAAGGCAGAGGGCCTTACTTGTTTAGAGGAACTAGTCCAGGGGAAAGTACTGGTGAGAAAAAGCCTAGGAACAATGGGAAGGCCAAGGAAGCAGGGCCCTGGACCCCTCACCATATTCTCCACAAAAGCTTCCCTTTTTATCTGTTTTAAATATTAGGCTTTCATGGGAGATCCTATTTGAAGAAAAGCTAATAAAATGAATGAAAAAATATGTTTTAAAATCAGTACCCTAGAGAGTAGACATGTAACTAGAATATTTTCAGGTTTTATTCCTAGACATAGCTAGTTATACCAGGTGTTCTAAATATTAACAAACTCTTGTACAGTAATAAGTATTTTAAAGACTAATATAAATAGCTACAGAGTTGCCTCACTGAGTAAACTGTATACAGGAATTCAGATGATGACTCTAGTATTGGTGAAGACATTACAAAGTAGTGTGATACAGCTTGAGTTAAAATTACAAATGTTTTTTGGAAACCACATGGAAAGCCTCACTTAACTAAATGAAATACTTTCAAATTAGACTAGAAGGTCCTCTGCTAGTTACTGTCAGTGTCACTTTGGAAAAATTATTTAATCTCCCTGAAATTATCTGTAAAGTGAGAGTAATACTGCACAAGGATGTTTTGAGGGCTGAATGGGTAACGTATGTAACCCGGATTTCTTGCATAGTGTTCAATATTCCCTTCGTCCTTCCTTTTTACAAAGTGGCAGACTGTGTCATCAATAGTGAAGTCATGATTGTCTGGTTTAACTGACAAGCTCTAGAAATTGTTGTTCTACTGCCTGCTTCCTGGGCTCAGCAATTTGTGTTCTGATCTGATTATTCTTGCCAGGAAAAGCAAGAACACACACAGGGGTGGGTATTTGTGTTATATTTCTATAAGGTACCATGTAATAGTTTTTTTAAAAAAGGATGCAATTTCTGGCTCTTTCACTTAAAGCTCAGTTCAATAACCTTTCTCCCTCAGTCTGTTATCTATAAATGGGGACGATAATAGTACCTTGTATCATAGGATTCTGTGAAATAGTGCCCATAAAGTAACTGATAATAAATAACAAAGACTATAATGGTAATTATCATTTATTTATTCAGCAATATGTGGTTAAACATCTTCTGTTGTCAGACTGGGTTCCTGCATCTCTTGGTGTAGCCATTCCTTGCTGCAACTTTGAGTTTATCTCCAGATTTGGACTTCCTGAGTTGCAGAGTTTTTCGAGTCAGATCCAGCCAGTCACCATATTTTGTCCTTTCCACGTTATGAAGAATACACACAGATGGTTGTCACATGCCCTTTAAACTGGCCAGGGTCCCAAACCAGAGAGGTTTCCATAGGTATTCTAATCCTATGGCTCTTAAACATATAGTATCCTTTATGTTGTAATGAAGAAAAACGGAAGTGTATCTTGAAATGACCTGGAGAGAATTGCCTGTTAATTATGACAGAGAAAAACAAGGGAAGAAGCCTCTAAACCTGACATTACTTCATCAGATTAGTCCCCTTCCCACTGACTTAAGACAGCCCATTTTATATTCTTTAATAGTTGAAGTTAGGGTGAGGTCACTGGGTTACCTAGCGCCTTTCATTCAACAAAATATATTTGACCTAAAATCAGGATGTGTTGCATATAAATCAAGCAGATCTTTCCCACTGGTTGAAAGCAACTTTTTATGTTGTGGGAAAATTTTGTATTGTACTGGTGTTACTGGGATTGAAACCTTCCTTCTTTGGAAGTGAAAATACCCTGTATGAAAAAATGAAGGCATGCGGAAATACTGAATGGAATGAACGTGAAGTGCTCAGAGAAGCACAGGAGTGAAGCACAGCTCTGGCTTTCATTCTTATTTTTTTAATCTTAAAAAGCCCAAATGGCTTAAATAAGCACAGATTATTTTAGAATTTTATAGCTGGAAAAAGACTTTTCCCATTACCTAATCAACCACTTTATTTTCAGATGAGAAAGCTGAGGCCTGAACGTAGGTGACTTGGCCTTGCTTAATTTCACTTGGATGAAATTAAAGGAAAGTGATGGGCAGGAACCATTGCTTTTCCTGTCATCCCATATTCCACAGCTATTTTTCATGGTTCTCGGTATTTGAAAAGTAACTTTGTTACTTATTCCAGTGGGTTTAATTGTGATCATTGTTATTTTATGTTTTGATTTTTTAAAAATCTCATTTTATAACAGGCCTTGCTATGAAGACAAGTTGAGATTTTGCAGTAGGGCTGATCATATTGAAAATATGGAGAGTTTCGCCCTCTAGTGCTCAACTAACTAAAAGTGCAACCATTTGTCCTGGTGATTTTTTATTACCAAGGGGCCTCTTGTTACAGGAAGTAGATATAAAAATGGAAAGGCGATGAGTAGGTGCGATACAGTGTGAGAAACAGCAGGGTGTGGTTTCTCTATCTGCCTTGCTTGTGGGAGGCCTCAGCTCACTTTGCTTGTTCTTTCTTTTTTTAATTTGTGTTTCTTTAGGTTGTTACAAACTGTTTTTGTCTAATAACTTTGTTTTCAATTATATATAAAATTTATTGAAAACTTCAGGCAAGCCATGTAGACAAAGGCTTCTGATGGTCTTGCTGTTCTGTTTCATTCTTTTTAAGATCATTTCAGTTGATGGGCACCAACTCAATTTTATGCTGTTTATATCTCATCAGGGTGCCTTCCCTTCCCATGTGTCCAACTTTCCAAAGACCTCCTTCGAACTGCAATTAAGAAAGCTGCTTTTTTCTTTCTTCATCTACCCTGTAGAGTACTATTCACTCTTTTCATGCAAATTTCCCATAATTGGATGCAGCAGTTAAATTTGTAGCACTTTTGTATTTTGAGTTAGCTTTTTCCTTGTCCTTGACTCTCTTAGGTTTTACTTTCTGCACAAAGAAAGCACAGTCAAGTTTAAGGTGCTACCCTAAACTTGAAAACTGATGGAGCCCTAAAACTTGATTCTGAAAAATATACACAGAAAATGTCTGAGTTGAACCATAATTGGCAAATTAGAAATGGAGGCACCTACTATTTCTATTCAGTCTGAGAGCCAAAGACTGTATATAACATGTTTTCTGAGATGAAGGTACAGCCTTATGAACTGTTCTGCAGTTATTTACCACCTTAATCTTCCCCATTAAAGGGAAAGAAAGAAAAAACAGCAACTTGTTTTACACAGTGGGCTCCCAGAATGCAGGAATCCCATTTTTATGTGCCCATAAAGGGCATTTTAGTAATAAATGAAAATTTTTTCTTAGGTGGCTTTGGAACATGGTACAAATGGAATGGAGCCGAGAGATTATCCATTAATGTTCACTTACATCAAATGAAATTTTAGCTGTTAGTTTTTTTGATAAATAAAAAGTACTAGGCATTCTGCAGCTTGGGTCTTTGCTGGCCTAGCCAGAATGGGCTGGTGTAACAGCTTCAGTGGCTCAGTCTGCTTCTCACTTTCTGTAATGGTAACCAAAGGATAATTGTAGCCTATATCCTGGAAATCACATTTGATTTAAATTAGTCTTACTTTTCAGGAAGGTAATAGCATTAATGAACGGGGGTTACTCACCATTTAGTGACTTGGACTTGGTTTTTAGTTCAGGATTTGCTCTTTTCACTTAGGGTTTGCTTGCCAGTGACAGAGCCAGGCAAAGAAATACACATTGTTTTGTTTTTTTTTTTTGGTTTGATCTAAAATAACTATCCCTGCTTTAGATGTACAAAGAATTAGTAAGCAGAGCCTTTCCAGAGCAGAAGGGTTTCTGAAGGGATTACTTGGTTTTGAAACCCTTTCTGCTTTAATAACTGCAAACATAATGTACGATCTGTCTTCCCTTTTAGAGCAAAGCCGGCGGGATGATTTGGAAGCCCTGGGCCATATGTTCATGTATTTCCTTCGAGGCAGCCTACCCTGGCAAGGACTCAAGGTATCCTTGAAAGTGCTCAGTGGACGGCTTTGTTTCAATACTCAGTTGTTGATGAAAGGGTTTGCTGACTTGATGTCTGATTGGCTACAGGGAGGAGAGGCAGACACTGGTGACATTAGTCAGTGGAGTAGAGGCTCACCTGAACTCTGGAAGCTCTGATTTGCTCACATTTGTTTTCTTCCCCTTTCGAATCCTTCTTCCTTGTTTTTGGGTTTTCCACGATCTCTTCCCTTGTTTCCTCCCAGCCTTGGCAGCGCTCTGTTTCTCTCTGTGTCAGAATTCCTCCTCCGCTACCATTCTGTAGCAGGAAGAGTGTTCCCAGCATGTTGGGGAATTTCTGGAACAAATTGATGACAGCAGCTGCTACACATTTTAACAGCAATGCCAGCAGGCTGGGTGTGCCCCAAAGGGGAATTGGGAAGTACTCATTCTTTATGTATAGGCTAAGGGCCCACCTGAACTACAACAAAAATCCAGGTTTAACAATACTGTTCAAGTATTCTGTTGAGTGAATTCCTATGCAGACAACAGCCATTCCTTGTGAAAACATGTAGTTTAAATAGCCTTCCTTAGGCAGGTATCAGTACAGTGCCTTTCTGTCAAAGTTAACTACAAATTCTAACCATTGTAATTATTCTGTGCTTCTGGCTATTCGACAAGGAAGTGGTGAGCTTCTCACCTATGCGAGGCCCCATTAGATAGTTAAATGCAGGGCATATTTTTGAGTTGTAGTTTATTTCAACATATTTGTGTGGAAAGAAACTTAATCAGTTTCCTGGGTACTCCTGCACCCCCTCCCTCCCTCCATGCTTTCTAGAACATCATCCTGAAGAGTAAAGCTTCTACCTCTTCCCTTTGGTAAGGTTTTACTTATTTTCCCTTCAATTGCTCCCCTAACTTCTTCGTGGTCTCTCCTTGTCATAGATTTCTTCTCATTGGTGTTGACAACTGTCAAATAGAGTTTCAAATCCTGTTTGTTCATTACATAGCCACACAGTGCATGTGTGTGTTATTAATTGCCTGAAACTTTTTCATGGTCCCTGAGTCATTTCAGTGGTAGCTGTAGATCTAAAATTTCTCCAACTTATTTTAGAACATTGTTGCTTAAAGCTGAATGCAGTGGGCTTGGAGTCTCACAAGAATCCCTTGAGACCACATTGTTGGTCGAGGCTCCCAGAGTTCTTAATCTACAGTTCTGAGCCAACCAGCATTGACTGCTTTGAGCCACTGGCATATCAGACCTGTCCATTAGCCATGCCTGTATCATAGATAACATTTTTCCCTCTGAAAGCACATTGGGAAAGCATTTTTTCCTACTTCTTATTCTTTTTTTTTCTATTCAACTTCATAATAAATGTGCTGTAGAGCCATCTATCTCCCCCGACTTGGATGAGCAATTTTTTAATTTTATCACAGAGCTGATCTAAGAAAGAGAAGTCAGAATCACTTTTGAACTTGAATCCTGGTGGCCAAGGGAGATAACTAAGCTTCTGCAATTCTCAAAACATTGTTGCCATGATTTTTTTTCCTTTCCCTAGCCACTCGCCTCATTACATTTGATGGTGTTTATCTTAGACTGCTAAATATATTTGCAAGTAAAACTGTCTGAAATGGAGCAGGTATTTTGTCCTTACCTAAATACATCATCTCTACTACATTCATTATTTGTTAGTGTTAGAGAGGAAGAAAAAGTTGAGACTGTCTAACAAATCCTGCCAGTTTGAGTGAAACAACCATTGTGTCCTCAAACATATTGGACCTCCCATACTTAGCCCCTGTTTCCAAGTACCATTCTTTTTCTCTACAGGCTGATACTTTAAAAGAGAGATATCAAAAAATCGGTGACACCAAAAGGAATACTCCCATTGAAGCTCTCTGTGAAAACTTCCCAGGTAGGATGCTAAAAGGGCATTTGAACCAATGTGACTAAAGCTTGGAAGTAGGTGGAGACCATGACTTGGTATCTCTAGATCAGAGTGCTCTCCAGAACATTTACATTTTCTTCTATTGCTACTTGGACCAAGATAGGTTTTACCACTTTCATTTGGTCCATAAAGAAAACACCAGTGAGTAATGAAGACAATTTGGTACTGGCACAAGAACAGAGCCACAGACCAGTGGAACAGAATAGAGACTCCAGACATTAGCCCAAACATATATGGCCAATTAATATACGATAAAGGAGCCATGGACATACAATGGGGAAATGACAGTCTCTTCAACAGATGGTGCTGGCAAAACTGGATAGCTACATGTAAGAGAATGAAACCAGACCATTGTCTAACCCCATACACAGAAGTAAATTCAAAATGGATCAAAGACCTGAATGTAAGTCATGAAACCATAAAACTCTTAGAAAATAACATAGGCAAAAATCTCATGGATGTAAACATGAGTGACTTCTTCATGAACATATCTCCCCGGGCAAGGGAAACAAAGGCAAAAATGAACAAGTGGGACTATATCAAGCTAAAAAGCTTCTGTACAGCAAAGGACACCATCAATAGAACAAAAAGGTATCCTATAGTATGGGAGAACATATTCATAAATGACAGATCCGATAAAGGGTTGACATCCAAAATACATAAAGAGCTCACACACCTCAACAAACAAAAAGCAAATAATCCAATTAAAAAATGGGCAGAGGAGCTGAACAGACAGTTCTCTAAAGAAGAAATCCAGATGGCCAGCAGGCACATGAAAAGATGCTCCACATCACTAATCATCAGAGAAATGCAAATTAAAACCACAATAAGATATCACCTCACACCAGTAAGGATCGCCATCATCGAAAAGACAAACAACAACAAATGTTGGCAAAGTTGTGGAGAAAGGCGAACCCTCCTACACTGCTGGTGGGAATGTAAATTAG